CGGCCTTCCGCTCACGCCCGTCAGGTTTGAGATTTCAGAAGGATAAGTGTCACGTAGGGCATACACATTTGACTTGTGTACGCCCATCAAATCTGTCGGAAACATGCGCTATGTCGGGGCTTTGGCTTCTGTCTCAGTGTTTTAAGGGTACCTTCAACTCATTGCGCAGCTTCATTTGCATGCTGATTTCACTCCTTGCGCTGATCGAGGTTCGGCAGAACCGCCCCCACCAAAGCAGCCCAACCAATTCAGTGGGCTCCTTCCCATTGTTTGCATTGTTTTAATTTGTTTGTTTGTTTCTTGGTGGGTGGGTGTCACCTGAGGGATTTGAGGGATGTTCCTCACCTTGCGCATTGTCCATTTGGGGGTGTTTCAAAATAGGAATCAGACCGCATCGGACCCTTTTTGGATTGCTTCAGGAAAACCAGAAGGAAATCACCTGAAGGGGTCGAAATCCAATATTGAGAAACGCCCATTTGGATTCAGCCGGCTGCGACCCCGCTGTTGAACCGTTTCCTTTGGCCAGGTGCTGTGGCAGAGGTTCGGAATGGCGAGTTGAGGCCGCTGGAGGCGGATGGGTTGGCGAAATCGGGGTGGGGTCTCAGTGCAAGATAGTGTTTTTGTTTTGTTTGCGCTCTATCTCTCTCTCGCTCTCTCTGTCTCTCTCTCTCTCTCTCTCTCTGTCTCTCTCGCTCTCTCTGTTTCTCTCCCTCGCTCTCTCTGTTTCTCTCTCTCGCTCTCTCTCAATCCCTTTCCCTTTCTCTGTTTGTTTCTGTTTTTGCTCTATTCTTCTTTGGGGATGTCGTTTCCTGACAATCAATGTGGAGGAACAAAGAATGCAGCGATCGGGAAAGAACAAACAACACGGATTGAAGAACGGTTGAACGTGGGCACATGCATAACGCCAGCTTTAGCCAACCTTGGCGCAAATGTCAGACCTTGATTTGTTTGGAATGGTGTTGAAGTTGGAGCCACTTCTAAAGCTGCATACACACTCTTGCGCTTTCTTTTTGTAACTCATACACGCGCCGGGGGGGGGGGCTTGATGCCGTTTATGCAAATGTTCAAGTCAAGCGCAACACAAGCCTGAAAACAGAAACAGCTGCATAGCCTCCGGGATGGCAAAACAGGACAGGACACAATATGTCAGGTGATGTGATTTTTTGCAAAGCCCCCGTACTGCATGCTCTTCATAGATGCAGCCCTTCTGGCCAAGGCTTCCATTACCTCAACGTCCCCCCTCAACCAACCGCGAGGAAACGTATTGTTTGTCCCATCATGAAGGGGTCTACAATGGCGGCAGTGTTGTGTCAACCCCCCAACCAGAATTTATTTTTAGCCACATGAGCCATAAAAAAGCACGGCTAACTGGAGGGTAGCAAGGGACAGTCCCCACCATAAACGGGCGCGGCCGCCATCTTCTGATTTTCGACCATCTTTATCCCGGTTTTGATTGTGATTCACTTGCTGAACCGACGCTGGGTTTCCTTTTGGTTTGTTGAACACTATCGTGGGTCCTTTTACTTCTCCCAGTGGCCATGTCGGATATGATCTAAGGCAGCCCACGCGAATTCGGAGAGTTTGGGCCACCGCCAGGCGCAATTGCCACGACCCTGGCATTTCGTTTCTTCAAATTTCGCCCGCGGCAGCCGCAAGGCTTTCCAATCCAGCACCCGCTGTGCTGCTAAAAATGAGGAGAGTGCCGCTTGTACGACACCTTTGCGCAAACAGAGTGACTTTTGGATGAAGTGTTGGCGATAGCAGGTCCAGGGTGCTGCTACACAATGTCCGTCGCAAAACAGGTATGACATTGTGCGCCCTTCAGAGAAGACTCTTACAAGGAAACCAGCAGCAGGCTTCCAACATTGGTAATCCAATTCTCTTCCCAAGAGTTTTTAAGCCGTATCGGTCTCTCCACAAGTGGTGCTAGGTATCAATTGACTTCACCTTTTCAAAAGCGAGAGTGGGGGCTGCCCCCCTGTTGGGGCTGAGGACTTGTTCTGCATCCAAAGTACGCAGCTTCACTCTTTCTGACATGTGTCTGTCTGTGGCAGCTGGAACGACTGAGATCAAATCTCGCGTGCTGGTAACTTGGATCCGCAATCTTTGAGACAACACTCATTGCAAGTTCAAGACTTGTGATGCGCCTTGCCTTGCCGGCAAACGTCCAGGGCTCAATACCTAGAACCTAGAAGCAAGATCGACCGCAGTTTATTTTCAGCTGAAAGCATTGGGGTCTGTGCCCAAAGCTCCGGGGGGGTTTACAGCAGCTTTCAGCCGGGCTTCCGCAGGCTTCTAGGCTGCGGGACCTTGGTTTTTTCTGGTTCTTGGCCTGGTGATGGTATGAACCTCACCCAGTTCCTTTGACTCAATTTGACTGTCTGTCTTTGTTATTCCCCTTGGTTTTCCTGTTGGTTTTCCAGAGAAGCCTCGAAAACCTGACAGCGAGGGGTCGCCCGCTGCCCAGGCCGGGGAAACCGGTGCGTTGCCTCATTGGTGGCCCGGCCGGGGCGCCCGTGCGAGCTGATGAGAGCTGGGGCACGGATCGTGGGTCCTTTTCGAGCAACCAAATAAACGGGATGACGGGTTTGAGAGGCACTTTCCTTCCGAAAAGCGGAGAGGTGGGGAGACGGGAAGAATTTTCGAGCACACAAGGTGAGGACAGCCCAGAAAGGGTCCTTTTAACCCCAAAGCCGATTCTGTTCAAAAGTTGTTGTGCTGTGAAATGCCCATGAGTAGACACGAAGCCTTTGAGCCCATGAGTTCACGAAAATGTTGAGCCCTGATTCACACCCTCCTCTAGATGTGGATTCCATGAAAGAAAGTATGCTACCATTAGAAAATGGACTCTGCGAATGCCATTTTTCTACAAGGGAGGATGGGAGTCACCTTCAAAGCTTTGTCCCAGGGTCACTTGGCGTCACGTTGTGGTTGAGCCGGGAAGCCCAAGGTGGTGTAAACAATAGTGCTCTAAACATAATCGAACAGGTGCTCAGCCCCATCCTGATAGAGGAAGCCCCACTTTTGTGATCAAAGTGGTAGAACAGAGTCATGGACATGACCCTCATTCAAGTGTTTTTCATCTTTCGTATCAATCAAAGCTTTTGTCGGTTGAAATTAACCTTTCGTAGCAAAGCCTCACGACGTTTGACTCGAACAACAAAAGCAGCTGACTACTTGGGCTCATCAAAGCCTTAGAGGTTTTGACAGCCACTTGAAAGGTCCTGTTCTACAAGAGAACCATTGACCATGACTGACGCGAAAGGAGTTCGGCCAAGGCAGGCTCACCTAGCCCCAACCAGATCTAGCAATGCGAGAGTCTCTAAATTTTGCCGCCACCAGCCTAATACTCTTTTACTAATAGACTGAATTGCAAACTAGACAACTTTGCTTTGGGGAAACAGTTGGCCGAAAGAGCCCGGACGTGAGATCTGTGAAATGTCGACGACACGACAAAACGCCAACGGTATTGTCAAAGCCCGCCCCAACACACGTAGTTGGACCCTAACCCCCAGAAAAAAAGCCAGGGGCTGATACAAGGGGCTGAGATCTTACACGCTTGGCTTTTGCTCCATGATCACGACTCAAAATTTGGCTCTTCGGGAAAGTCCTTTTTTTCTTTCTCCTTTGCCGTGGGCGGCCCCGGACCCCGGATCCTATCTGTCGAGACAGGTGGGCCCGGAGAAGCTCTTGGCGCTGGTCCCCTTTGAGGCCCAAGCGAAACGAAAGGTAAGGGGCACCGGGCAAAACGTTACCAAGCAGTGAGTTTGTGGTCGGCTTGGTTCCAGTGTTTTTTGGAATGGAACAAGTCTCTTGTTTGGAAGCTGCAGGAAAAATGTTCAGCATATGGCCATGGGGCATAACCTATGGCGAGCCCTTGGCAAAACGTTTCTTCTCGTTTTTTGTGGGTTGGGAGTTGGTCGACGCCCTGCTTGTTCGGATGCTTGCATGTTCCTGCAGTCCTGCAAGGGGGTGGCTTGTCGGTCCCAACTTTGCTGAACTGGAGGTAAATCTGGAGACTGGAATTTGGCCCAAATGCCTTCCAAGCAAGTCACGCAGTCACTGCTTTGTTCTTCTTTTTTTAATAAGCCGGGGGTGACGTTTTTTTTTGAGCCACGGCCAGCAGGTCTGCACGCAGCACACATACCGTGCCAACGTGCACGGCGTGCGCCAGGGCCGGCTCGAGGAGCCACTGCCGCGTCTGGTGCACGTGGTGGAAGGCGCATTTTTTTTTCCAGCGGATTCCGATCGCCACGCAGGCGGCATCCATCTGAACCCACCCATTTTCGGAAATGGATGGCGTTTTTTTTTGGTTTCTTACAGACCAACGAGATGAGCAAATTGGAGGTGGCCAGCACGACATGTTTGTGTTTTTTGCCTCAGCCTCACCTTTGTGCCGGGGGGGGGAAGGAAACTTGATTGAATCTATGAGCTGGGAACTTTGCTTCAGTGCTTTGGAGTTTTCTTGGAGTTCAGTTTGGCTGAACAAAGTTCGATGCTACCGCTTTCAGCTTCCGCGCGAAACAAACTCCGCAGGTTTCGGCTCCGAAAACTCGCCGAGTCGCCCGGATTCTTTTCCGGTTGTTTGATCTGGCGGGGAGTAGGCGCGGCGCCTCGGCTGCAGAAGATGGTTGCCATGTTGAAAAGCACCCCCTTTCAACAGCGGAAGCTGCGAAGGGTTTGGAAGTGTTGAAAAGGCCTCAACACACTCACTTCCATGGATTTTTGGAAAGCGAGCAGGAGAATGTATCTCTGTGACGCCTGTGATGGGATTTGAGATTTACCTGAGCGAATTCACCAAAGAGATTACGTGCCTTCATGAAACACACAGTCAAATGCACGCATGTGAATAATCCATCGCTGTGCGTTCTTGGAACCCTGGACTATTTTTTTGCAGCTTCGCCGCTTTCTTTTTGTGGACGCGGTGCATTTGGCGCTGGTGGCCTGAGGATTCATAGCAGGCCTACCTCCGGACCGCCCATGGGCGCGCTGGAGTGAGAATGGTTTCAGTGTGCCTTGGATGCAAGTTGTCGGTTGTGTCTTTTCTTTGGGTCTTGCTATTTGCATTTGGCGTATTTGGTCAATTTTGTTTTTGCCGGGCTTGGGGGATGAGGGGGTTGAGGGGAAGGGACGGGCTGGAGCCGGGATGGACTTGAGTTCCACGCACGGCGTGGATTCGCACGGCGTGTGCCGTGCATTTTGCATGGCTCTTTGTGGATGGACGAGAGGCTATTCAGGGAATGTCACGAGTGTCTTGGTTTTGAGGAACCCAAGAAGGGAGGATCCACCCTGCAAGCTGGGTTTCAGGCGGCGTGAGGGCTTTTCTTGTCCTCGCAAACCTGGGCCTTTGCCTCAACCGTCTGGGCTTACCGAAATGGGGAAACTGGGGTTGAGCCTACGACTTTGAACACTGAAGGATGATGAGCCAAGTCGCGATCTCGCGATGTCGGCTACATGGTTTTCCATCAAGCTGATTTGCCGTGGCGCCTCACGGCAGAGTTTTGCGGAGCCCAGCCCAGAAACGAACGGGCCTATAGGGCCGGGAGGGTCAAAGTCGTCTGGTTCGCTGAGGCGCGGCTTCCTGCTGTGCCGGCCTCGGTGTTTGGCAGGCTTAGGTTAGAAGACTGGGTCCAGATCTTTCAATCCCTCAACGACGAGTTTGCGGGATACATTTCCTGCGTGGGTTTGTAGTTTGAGGACCAAAAGGAGACCTGGAAAGTCCAACTCTCGGATCTCGCCTCATGGACTGCTTCGGTCTTCTTGCAGTGCCGCAAGAGACGGTCATTTTCACAACGGCCAAAAAAAGGGCCTGTATCCCTTACTCAAATCTGAGAATCAACCGGGGTTCATTGATGACTTAACCCACACTCAACTGCTCCCAGCCCGAATCATCGACTGTCTTTCATTTGCTTAAAACGCTTCCACCTCTTGGTTCAAACGGCTGTGACTGCTGAGTGTGTATGGTCTTTTGGGCGGCTCCTTGCAATGCCTGTCCTAGTGGATCCATTGACCTGTATAGCTTACCAACCACTCTGTATAAACCCCAAGTTGAACATTTTGTTGATTACCTACCATAGTGCCAATTTCCCCGGTGTTTCTTTCTTCTTCCTTTTTTACGACCGAGGCATAGTGGGGATCGACTGGGATCTGGGATCGTAGCTCCAATTCCCAGGCTGGCCCTGGTTGCCGCGGAGCGCGGCGCGCTCGAGGTGGGATCTTTGGACTTTTGCTTTTTGGTTCCAAACCCGAAACCTCGGGTACCCTTTTTAGTGGTTTGCATTGCTGGGATTTGAAGCCCTGGCTGTTGACGGCAATCCAGACCACCAATTAGCGCAAAGCTGAGATGGTTTGGGGGGTCAGTTAGGAATCCCTAAATTTCTGGCCCGTTTCAAATATTTGTCTTGAAGAAACACCTCACTTCAACACACACACGAACACACACATGTTGTTCTGGTTCCAGCATTTCTTTGGTAACTTCTGATCCGAGTGTCTGCAAAAAAATTGGCCGCCCGGGACTTTGCACCGCGTACGAGGTGCACCGGGGGCTGGAGCTGGAGGACGCGGAGGAGAGCGACCAGGCGAGTGCGGTTTGACGGATTGGGTCCAAAATTTTATGTACAAAAACCCGCGGTCCCCACAGACAAACCGCCAAAATGTACCAATTATTTTGCTGTGGGTCACCCAAAATGGGTTGCCCTGCCAAATGGAACCAAGCACTAAAACCTGGTCCCCTGGTTGTTTAATTTTGAAGCCCACCTGTTTGACGGATTGGGCTTCTCGTTTCTGGGGAGTGGCGACCGTTGTGGACGCTTGGGAATGGCCCGAGCTCCCGAGCTCGAAGAATTGGGAGGAAGAGTCGCCTGACTGATCGTAGTATGAGGAAAAGCGACCTTTAGGTCGATAGATGTTGGGGCTAAAATGAAACGGGTAACTTTCGGGCCGCAAACGCACGTTGCAGATGATGTTGGTGATGCTGTGGATGACACTGACGAATGCTGTTGATGCAGGAGATGCACGCTGAAGAGCCAGTTGCCAAACTGCAAGAGACCCCTGGAAATCGTGGGGCGTATGACATAGATGTTTCCTTTTCTGAGGGTTGCTACCCATCTCAGGGTGGATAATTTATCGCCGCCCTTTTTTCAGGTTTTTTTTTCTCAGACAAATTGGGTCGCCTTGCATCAGCCAATGGGTTGATGGAAGACGCGCCTTTCGGGTTTGCCCCCAACTTTCTGATCGCCACTCTCTCGGCTCTCGGGCCTGGATCCCTTCTTTTTTTCTCGTCTATGAATTGTTTGCAATGCTGTATCTTGGAGCGATCATGTGTTATTCTTGTCCCAAAAACATGGAGAAAACCAACAGCTGCTATTGAGGACCCATATTTTCCTGATGTTCTCCCCATGGTTTTGCAGGCCGGTTTGCCCATGGCCTGCATATGTTCCCAATGGGTTTCCCCATGGTTTCCAATGGTTGTCCTTCCACCCCATGCTTTCCCATATGTTCCTACTGTTTTTCTCCACGGTTTCCAATATTTGTTCCCAGGCTTTCAATGTCCCCCATGTTTCCCCCATATCTTCCCAATGTTTTTCCCGTAGTTTCTCATTGCAATGTTCCCCCCGCGTTTCGTCGTTTTTGGAAGCATTGACCTTCACGCAATCACGTGATATGGACACGGAAAACTAACCAACACATGGAAAATACCTGGACAACACAATAAGTTCTCCTCATGTTTGTGGTTTTGTGCTCTATGGGGTTCCCGACATTTTTTTGGAATTTGTAGGTTTTGTAGTGTTTTATTGTTCGTATTGGTAGAAGGCGACAAAAGCACCCACTGGAGCGTTTTGTTTGTTTCTTAGCTAAACAAGAACAATCGAACACTCTTGGAAGTCACAACAACAACAACAACAACGAGCCTTTGGAACAACAATGAAATCCGAAGGATAGTTTTTTTGCCCAGTTTTCAATGTTTTCGTTTGAATTTTGTTTCCTTTTAGTCGCACCAACAAGCTCGAGTTTTTACTTCAATCTTTCTGAGTTGCCGACCTACTGAAACCAAGCAACATACTAAAACCAAGCCTTGTGGACAACTAAGAAGCAAAAGCAACCTTGGACATGACAGAAACGCACAAGAACTAAACTGCCAAACCAACACGTCTATGCTTGCTTGCTTTCTCAAGTTTGTTTGATTGTCCCTCAGTTTCTGTTTTTGGTGAGTGTCAGCAGGAAAAGCCATCATAACCTCGAGTTTCACAAATGCAAGCAAACACACACACAAACATCTTGAGGACTTTGATGAAGCCTCAATTGTAACTTCAGCGAATTTCATTCGGACAGAATTGACTTAGATTTTCGAGAGATGAACATTCAAAGCCTGGCTTTAAAGTCTTGGCTCAAGTTTGTCGTAAGGCTCCTGAGGCTCCTTGTATCAAATTTGTCGTAAGGCTCCTTATAAAGCTCCATTGAAGCTCCATTGAAGCTCCATTGAAGCTCCACTGAAGCTCTTTACATGGCCCACTGGACACTAACCACGCTAAAGTGTAGAGCCACAACATCAGTTGTTTTTCCCTCTGCCCCAATCTTTCGCGTACCCCTCAAGTTGTGGATGATACAGTTTTTTTTGGGTACGCGTCAGAATAGGGACTCCAGAAATGGCGGTTTTCCTTTTGGCCTGCCTCTCAACCAACCCGAAAAACCGTCCCCTCGAAAACAGACACAGCCAGTCACAGGCTTTGTGTGCTGTATGTATGCCATCTTCAAGGCACTGCAGTGGCCACTCGCGGTGAGGAGGATAGTATGGGGAGTCCACCCTAATTGCTCCCCACCGAAATCAGGGGCCACCAAATTGCCCCAGGACGAACTTGTGATTTTCTCATTTCTGTTGTGGGGTTCCTTTGGCAGGTCTGGCCGCAGGAGCGGCCCAACTGCCTGCAGCCCTGCAACGAGGGCTGCTTCTGCATGGCCTCGCCGCTTGGATTGGGGGGAATGGGGGGAAAAGAGGTGGTGGGCTGGGGTCCCACAATTAAAGCTCATTCCCTGAGTTGCTGGTTTGGCAAAGCTCTGTCCGTCGGTGCAGCCATTTTGGCAACTCAAATCTGCTCCTTGCACAGGACTTACCCGCGAAGTGCCTGCTTTCCTGGTTTCCGAGAAAAGCGCCAACCAAACTGGGTTTCCTACACGCCAAGTCATTTTGCATTCGGGTGGCCGTAGACCTGATGGGGAAATGTCGCAACGTTGCCTAGATCCAAACCCCGACCCCCGCGAGCTTCTCCCACTCAGAGCTCAAAGTTGCGTTTTTTCGCGCATACGTCCTTTATTCCTTCCTGGATATTTTTGGAATTCTGTAAGGCGTCACACCCCTAGCCTTGCCTGATGCTTTCTGGGACGTGGGTTGGGAGCACTGGAACTAAAGGTTTGCAGGCCCAGAATCCCGCCAAAGTAACATTGACTTTGTATTACTTCTAAGAGCTGCAGATACAAGCCTCTAATTCCAACGCCAATAGTAGACAAAGAATCTGTGGCTAAATCGCACCGATCGCTTCGTCGCGCATCAGCGGGTACGCCTAGGCGGCATTACCACGGCATCTTCTACTGCGATTGCACGGGTAGGAGCCCGGAGACAGAGCGGAGGTATCGGAATCAGTTCTCCTACGCGGATCTGAAGCTTGGTGCAGAGTTCGAGACCGTTTCTTGGGGTTGCCCAAACCTCTACAAAAGAAAACCGAAAGGGAGCCAGTCATTTTGAAGGGTTCCAAGTTTTAGGGAATTCTGAGAAGCAAGATGAGATGTCTAGCAAGGAAACCACCAGGACCCACATATGCTCCGTTGGTGTCCACCTCAAGAATCTTCCCTCAGGCTGTGTCCGGGCGTTTCCGAAATGCAGGTTCCCTTGGCTCAAAGTCCATGGTATCCCAGCATATTCGAATGTTCCGTGCAGGTTCTAATGCTATTTTGGCTGGATCTAGGTGTGGGGGCGCAGGCACTTATGTAGCTTATGCAGCTTTTCCGGTTTGGGCCATCGACGCCGTGCGCTCTCGCTAAGGATCAAGCACCCGGAGACGAGAGGCAAGGTGAACTCAGAGTGGAGGCATCCCAAGCTGGATGACTGAGTCGATCTCGCGGAAGTCTGGAAAAAAGGGCTGCGGCGCTCTGCGGCAGCACGTTCCGGACACGGCTTGAGGACAGATCAGTTCCAAGAGGCAGATCTGGGGATGGTGCAAAGTAAGAGATCATGAGGCCTTTTTGGTAGAAGTCTAGCACATGCCTAGGTGGGTTTTAGGTACTCAGCTTTTCTTGGCGAGAAGGGGACAACCTGCGACTTGGGATCCGAGGCCTCTCCGAGACATGTTTCATTTTCCCCGCTGCATGGGAAACATCAAAAAGGGAAGCTCCCAGGGCCACCAGAAGCACTTTTCCAGGTAGACATTCTATTCCTTGAATGCCAAGGCAGTCCGAGTGACGAAGAGGCTTCCATATAGATTTCCTGTTTTGTGGTAGTCAGGACGGGGTTCTTTCACCTGCTATTGTCACCTCCAAGGTCGTTCGCATGGTTTGCCCTGGTTGCAGGTCAGTGGGGTTTTGTTTGGTTTTCGCAGCACTGGGCTTCGGATAACAAAGCGAGGGAGCCCCAAAAAAGGTTCAATTCTTACTCCGGCTTTGGATTTCTTGTCGCGGAAGCCTCGACAGAATCCTCCCCGCGGTTACGGGGCGACTCCGACGTTGCCGTGGGATCCAGGCGATGCCGCGGGAGGTCAGGGCTGCGCCCTCTTCGCAGAGATCCGGGACGTGGTGCAGGCGCCACATCTTCAGGGGACCGTTTCGGGGCGGTTGGGCGGGTGGGTGTGTGACAGATGTGTGGAGGTGTGTGTGTGTGTGTGCTGTTTGGGGAGGTGTCGCCGAGACGAGCACAGACTGGTCAGTTGGGAAAGGATGTTTTGTTTTTTTTCTCTAGCCGTGTTGCTTTCCTGAGGTGACGGACAGAAAGTTAGGGAGAGAGTCGGCAATTGCAGGGACCTCACAAAGGGATTCGTGACCTCACACATGAAGGTATCCCCTCATTTTCGGTTGGTGAAATATTGTGCTAGCACCGAGCGTTTGACATCGACGCGCATTGACTTTGAGCTGGGGTTCACAGTCATGTGCTGAGACTGGTTTGGGTGAGCTTGAGGCAAGATGGTTCGGTGTGGTTGGTTGCAATCCTGTAAACCAACATGGGTTTCCTGTTTGATACAAATCCGTATAGCTGAGTGTGTCGAAACTCATTGGACCACATTGAAGGATTCTTTTTGGTCTTGAGTCGCTCGGGATTGATTTGAAATATGCTTTAACTGGAAGCAGGGGCATGCATCTTGTGCTATTTGTGCACATGTTTCGACTTGTCGGTGACTCCGATTCTACAAGTGACAAGGGGGCTGGGCTTTTCTCAGGGCCGCGGAACCGCTTTTGGACATGCTCAACGCGGGGCCTTGAATTTTAAAAGGTCGAGTGAAGAGGCCAGAGGGACACAGACGCTTCGAACTTTGGCCTTCGGTTCCTCGGAGAGCTCAGTCACGTCGCTGCCGAGTTTGCATCTCTCGGCTCAAGATCCATTCGCGTGGGTTCCATCCAGTGGGGTGCTCTGGTCAGTGACTGCCGGGCACTTACCTTACTTGGAGGATGGCCTAACATCCTGTGCTTGGCTCCCAAGGAGACCATGAGAATGGCCGGCAAAAAGGACCTGATTTGTAGTTACGAGAGGTTTCAATTCCCTGTACCTTGCACATCTCAATGGAGTTTCGTCCGCCGTCCTGCAGCCCAGAGTGTACTGTTTCATGCCGAAAAGATAAAGGGACCTGCTAGAATAGCAAAAATCCTGTGGAAGCTGACCCCTGCATTCCTCCAAAGGTGTGACAAATCCAAGCACCGGGGCAGCCTTCTCGCCTTCCACTTGCAAGAGACTCAGGTCCGCATGGGCCATGCGCGGTGGCTGCTACTGACAGCAACCTGGCAGTTATTTTTTGTATATATTTTTTTCTAATGTCGTTGAGCTAGGAAAATGATTCGATCTTTTGTACGGGTGATTTGGAGCCCCGGTCTGTCTGCTACCCATGGACAGACAATTAGCTGGCATTTTCCCACCGGCTGTTTGGACAGAAACATAGAAGACATAGACCCGGCACCAGTTGTAACGACTCAGGGTGTTTGTTTGGCGTGAGACTCTCGAACAGCTGTCTTTTCTTCCGCCCTGGTTTTGCGACGCAACCTGCGTGTATGTCTCAAAGGGTTTGGGAAGCTGTACTTCTTGCGCGCCTGCATTTGGGACTCTCATATATTGAGGGCACCAGCGTTTTCAGTCTACAGTTGACTCCGACTCCCACCTGCGTTTCCGATTTAGAGCCTTCAAGGCTCTGATAAACAGATAATCTGACAGCCCAATGTGCGGCCTCGGTGTTGGTGCAATCTTGGCGTGCCACTTTGTCTCACCCCAAGCAAATGTCAACCTCTGGTGCCTTGGACGTAGGCGCATACCAATACTCTCCAGATTCGCATGGCAAAGCCATCCGCAGAGGAGACTCTCTTGGGGTCTAGAAGGAGCCCTTTTCAGGTTCTGGAGGAGGGAACTCTGGAGATGGCCCGTTCCGCCCCTTTCGCCAGCTCCGAGCTGAGTTGGCTTTGACATGGCGGACACCCCCCCTTCCCCCCCCCCAAACAAAAATAAGCTCAGGTGATATCCCCAACAGCATGCGGTGCTCGTTTTAGTGCTCGCACCACCCCGCAGCCCTCGCAGAACCTCGCAGAAACTCGTGGAACCCTGGTGGAACCCTCGTGGAACCTTACCTCAGGGCCGCCCCGGACCACCCCGGAGCCTATCTGGGCTGAGACCCCAAAGCTTTCAGCTGTTGGGGAACAAAAAAACAAGAGGGTGGTTTCATTTGGCTTCCCTTTGAAAGAAGCCCGAACGGGCAGCCTCAAAGACTCGCCCAGTTCGCCCTCGCTGCGGGGGAATGCCACTACGACCCAGAGAGCTCAGCGGCCTGCGGCCTGCAGTGCAAGCTGCAGCCCAGGGGCCGGGCACGCGACTCGAAAAAGCAAACTGGCCAAGTCTTCTCCACTCTTTGGGGGTTCCCAGCCGTCCGGTTCCGTAGGTTTCAGTTGCTTTAGTTGGCTGAGAGGTTTTTTTGGAGTTATTTTTTCTTGGATTTGTTTCTTCGTTTTTCTATAGGACATTTTCCTGGACTTTACCTTAGGCTTTTTGGCCTTTGCTTCTCGGAATCTGGGCTTTTTGCCTTCTTGGTTTTTTTCTTTTCTTGGCTTTTGGCTTTTTGGCTTTTTGGCGTTTTGGCTTTTTGGCTTTACTTTTTGTGGCCTTTGTGGCTTCGGCTTTCCGCATCCTCAGCGTCACCAGTAACAACCCAGCAACGGCTTTTGGCTTTTTTGGTTTTTGGATTGGTGGCTTCTTACCTCCCAGGTTTCTGTACCCCCCCCCCCCCATAAGAGGGTATTTCATGCCCAATGTGTCGTGGACATGTTTTGCCAAACATCACAAGAAAAACGCTCGTTCGCTAATTCCGATAATTTGCCAATTCCAGCACCTAAATAGCCAATTCCGCTAATTCCGGCAAATAATTACCGGAATTAGCCGATTTATTGGTTTATGTTGGCTAATTCCGGTAATTCTGCTAATTTGGCTAATTCCGGCAATTCCGGCTAATTCTGCTAATTTGGGTAATTCGGGTAATTCCGGCAAATAATTAGCGGAATTAGCGGAATTAGCCAAAACTAGCCAACAAATCGGCTAATTCCGCTAAGTATTTGCCGGAAATACCGGAATTAGCCAAATTAGCAGAATAAGCAAAACAAATGTTTTCCAGGAACCTTTGTTTCACATAGTTAGCGGGAATTAGCAAAATTAGCGGAATTAGCTAAAACATGTTTTCCAGGCATCTTCCAGAGGTGTAATTTACGGACTCCGGCAATTCCGGCAAATAATTACCGGAATTAGCCGATTTTTTGGCCAATTTTGGCTAATTCCGGTAATTCCGCTAATTATGAGAAAGGAAGGCTCCTGGAAAACATTTTTTGGCTAATTCTGCCAAGTTAAACTAATTCGGGTAATTCCGGCAAATAATTAGCCGAATTAGCGGAATCAGCCAAAATTAGCAAAACATCGGATAATTCCGCTAATCATTTGCCGGAATTACCGGAATTAGCCAAATTAGCAGAATTAGCCAAAAAATGTTTTCCAGGAACAGCGGAATTAGCTATTTAGGTGCTGGAATTTGCAAATTATTTTAATTAATTAGGATAATTAGGATAATTAAGATAATTAGGATATTCGAGCACTCCGCTTTACCTAATTATCCTATTATCCTAATTTATTAGGATAATTCGCCAATTCGGGTACGTACTAATCCTAATTACTAACAATTCCTATTATTTAGGATAACATTGGAACATATTTTCAAAAGACCGGAGATGCACGGCCTAAGCTCTAACTACTGGCAGGCTCAACCGGGAAGGAAGTCGACGGAGTCAGCATCATTCTCATTTTTTGTTTGTTTTTATTTTTTGTTAATTAAAATCATCATCATCATCATCATCATCATCAGCAGCAGCAGCAGCAGCATCATCATCATCATCATCATCATCATCATCATCATCATCATCATCATCATCATTGTCATCATCATTGTCATCATCATTGTCATCATCATTGTCATCATCATTGTCATCATGTTCAACATAATTCTCATTCTCATCATCATCATCATGACCATCATCATCATCATCATCATCATCATGACCATCATAATCATCATTATCATCAGCATCATGTTCATCATCTTTCTCATCAACCAGGTAGGGAGTTGAGTGAGGTCTTTTGGAAACATTGTTTCCTAATTATCCTAATGATCCTAATTATCCTAGTTATGCAAATTAGTTAGGATATTTGTGATAACTGGGAAATTCAAGCACTCCTCTTTACCTAAGTATCCGAATCATCCTAACTAATTAGAATAATTGGCAGTTCCATTATTTGCCTATCATTTGTTTTTCTCATTATCCTAATCAATTAGGATAATTAGGATATTTAGGATAATTAGGATAATTAGGAAAAATATGTTTTCCAAAAGACCTCGGAGATGCATGGCCTAAGCTCTGACTACTGGGAGGCTCAACCAGGTAGGAAGTCGACCAAGTCAACACCATTTTCATCCTCATCTTCATTCATCATCATCATCATCATCATCATCATCATCATCATTTTCATCATCATGGTCATTCTCATCATCATCATCATCATCATCATCATGCTCATCATCATTCTCATCATCATGGTCATCATGTTCATCATTATCGTTACCATCATAATGATTATCCTCATCATCATCATCATCATCACCAGCCGCATCATCATCATCATCATCATCATCATGATCATGTTCATCCTCATCATCAGCATCACTTTCATCATCATTCGCATCAACCAGGTAGGAAGTCAACCGAGGTCTTGGGGAGACCATTATTTTGTAAAACTCATGATAAGAATGCTGATGACCATGATGATGAACATGATGATAATGATGATGATCATGATCATGATGATGACCGTGTGATGATGACACTGATGATGAACATGATGAGGATAATGATGCTGACCATGATGATGACCATGATGATGAACATGATGATGAAAATCATGATTACGAGAATGATGATGACTATGATAATGAACATGATGATGAGCATCATGATGAAAATGATGATGAGCACGATGAAAATGCTGATGATGATGATAAACAAAATGATGAAAAGGATGAAGATGAGGATGATTAGGATAGTGCAGGAAAAAAGTTTTCCAAAAGACCTTGGAGATGCACGGCCTAAGCTGTAACTACTGGGAGGCTTAACCGGGTAGGAAGTCATCATCACGTTCATCATCATTTTCGTCATCAAGCTCATCATGATCATCATCTTCATCATCGTTTTCATCATTATGTTCATCATCATCATCATCATCATCATCATCATCATCATGTTTATCAGCATTTTCGTCATCATTATCATCATCGTTCTCTTCATCATGTTTATCATCATCATCATGTTTATCAATATTTGTCATCAACCAGGTAGAAAGTCGACCAAGGTCTTTTGGAAGCATTTTTCCTAATGATCCTAATTTTCCGAATCATCCTAATTATGCTAATTAATTAGGATAACTAGGATAATTAGGAAATTGGAGCACTCCGCCTTACCCAAGTATCCTAACCATCCTAATTAATCAGGGTAATTTGCAAATTCGAGCACGTAATTGTCCTAATTATCCTAATTGATTAGGATAATTAGGATATTTGTGATAATCGGGATAATTATGAAAATATGCTCTTCAAATGACCTCGGAGAGGCACGGCCTAATCTCTGACTACTGGGAGGCTGAACCAGGTAGGAAGTCGACCGCGAGTCAGCATCGTTTTCATCCTCATCTTCATCATCCGTTTCATCATTTTCATCATCACCATCATCATTTTCATCGTGCTCATCATCATTTTTATCATCATACACATCATGAAGGTCATCATCATGGTCGGCATCATTCTCGTCATCATTTCCATCAGCAGATGTTCATAATCAAGGTCACCATTATGGTCATCATCATCATCATCATCATCATCATCATCATCATCATCATCATCATCATCATCATCATCATCATCATCATGTTCATCATCATTCTGATCATCACATGGTAATAGTCATTCTCATCATCATCATCATCATCATCATCATCATCATCATCATCATCATCATCATCATCATCATTATCATGTTCATCATCTTTCTCATCAACCAGGTAGGAAGTCGTCCAAGGTGTTTTGGAAACATTATTTTCTTAAGTTTCCTAATTATCCTAATTATGCTAATTAATTAGGATAAGTGTGATAAAGAGGAAATTCTAGCACTCCGCTTTACCTAATTATCCACATTATCCTAATTGATTATGATAATTTGCAAATTCGAGCACGTAATTATCCTAATGATCATAATTATCCTAGTTAATTAGGATAATGAGGATATTTAGGAAAAATAGGATGCCAGTTCTTTCCCCCAGAGTTACTTCCCGGTGATACCAAACACAGATTTTTTTCTTTTTCTATTACTGCACTATGCAGTGGCCACAGGGATGGGAACGTCAATCACTTCACAAAAGGCAACATTTTCCACAACAGCCATGCTTTGGATTGTAGCCGGTTTCTTCATTCTTCGGAGCCTTTAGGAGGACTCTCAGCAAGACTTGCGTCCCGCGCAACTCCCTGACACCTATCCATCCGGACAAATTAGTCGAGGGCTGAAGATTCCTTGGAACAGATCAACTCACAAATGGGGTGCTTGATTGGCTTCCTTTTAGTTCAAGGACCAAAAACAGGTTGCTTGGTTGGTTTCCCTAGTCAGAAGAAGGGATCAAGAGACCCCGCCGCCAAAAAAAAGGCAGATGGCTTTGCCTTTGGAATTCTCAAAACTACCAAGAATCCTCCCCCCCCCCCCCTTCTCCTCCACTCGATGAGGCGCCGACTGCGCGGTGTCCTGCCTCATCGGCCGGGGGCTCTACGGTCACTGCGCCGGGTGCTTCGGGGTGCAGGTGGACTGCAGCATGTCGCGCCTCGGAATCACCGGGGCCTCGGAAGGGAAGCCACGGGGAAAGCTCACCAGATCTGGAGTCCCCCAAAAACATTACGCGCCCAACTGGAGATGAAGTATGAGTGACATGAATCCATATTCGAATGTCCAAAGGGTCCCTGATTAAACATCATGCCCTTGAGGCCGGTTCAAAGGGCTACGCTGGCGCTTTGCCTGTTGCATGTCCGAGCAAGGCGTAACAACAGCTGCACCGCGCACGCCAACAGCACCCCACGGGCATGGAAAGGTGAAAGGCGAACAGTTACAGCAACCAAGAGAAGCAGAGAACCAGTCGCCGGGGAGGGCCTCGAATTCTGAACGCGGCCGGGACCTTTGCGAATCTGGCCTCTGGCCCCCACAGCCACTCAGACCCACACAAACCCTTTAAACCTGGACCTGTGCGTATCCGACCGGCTCGGGCGCATCTATTTCCGACTCTCTCTGGTCTGCATTTGACTGACTGCTGGCATCTGTTATCCATCTTGCCTGGAGCTGCTGGCTTGTAGGTGGAGAGTAGAAAATCTAACAGCGCCATTTGACGGGTAGGGAACAACCGCCCGTATGCTTTCAACACATGAGATGCTTCCAAAAATAGGGGACATCTAAGACCCGCAGGTTTCCTTTGATTTCCCTGAAGCGCCCGAGGACAAAGGGTTCCCTATTTCTGTTTTCGCCTGTGCCTGGGGCGTGCCTGGAGCAGAGCACTCTGTCTAGCTCAGAAGTTTCTCGGGGAGCTGCACACCTGCTGAGCTCTCATGACTTACCCCATTCGAAGTGTGGCCCTTGTGTATTTGCTTTTGCCCAAAAGCGCCACCCCTCTTTTCAATCATCGGGGACTGGCGGGTTGGTCCCTTGACGGGAGCACAGCCTAGGAACTGCTTCTACATTTGCCCGACCAAGCCGAACTCCACCCTGTGCCGCTCTTGTTTGCGGCAGCGGTGCCGGCTTTGCGCGGACGACTCGTCGGATGCAGGAGAGGGGAGGGTTGGAGAGAGATGGCTGTGGTTGTCAAAGCCAATGGGATCCCATTTTGGGGGGTTTTCGGTGCACCACCTATTTGAGAACCTATTTCAGTGGGGATTGGGATGTTTACTGGGGGTACGATTTGGATTTGCACCCATGGCCAGACGGTTTTCTTTTGGCTGGATTGTTTTGAGGGCGTTGGCTTTCTTTTGCCATTCACGAGCCGCCGGCTGCTCATGTTGCCTCCATCTGGAATGTGCAACTTCATTGCAGGAGAGGCCTTTGACGAGCAGGCCGCACAGATGTTCCCCTGACCTGAGCCGCGCCCCAAAGAGGATGCGCTAAATGGAAGGGGTGGGGCCAGTAGTGGCAAGTCGTCAAGGAGAATCAGGACAAGTGACTTGGCTGTGCATGTTCGCCAATGTTTTTGTGCCACAATGTGAAGCCCTCTGTGTCGCTCCAAGTCAGCCCAGCCCCTGTGCTGAGGGCGTGCCCAAGGCATCGCGCGATTCCTCGGCTCTGAAGCTCTCGTGTACATAAAGCAACAATCGGTTACACCTCACCAGTTGAGGAAAGCGGGCGGCGACTCACCAACATGTAAAAGTTTCCCAAAAGTCCAGACCCCAATCTATTTGGTTGGTATTTCAAGGGAAATCGAAAGGAAGCCAACCGTTTTAGGGGACCACTATCTTGAGAACCCCATGGACAATGACTATTGGCCGCTCACGTAGAGCTTGGGTACTGCCCCAAACTTCCGACACCTCAGCCGCCCGTGTCTCCCAATCCCCTGCCTCATTTTCCAGGCTGTTGAGTTGTGTTTTGTATTCATAGAGCTGTTGTCTCCCAATCCCTCCCCTTTGTGAGGGTCCAATCCCCAGCAGTCATAGCTGAACCGGCCCATAAAGGACGCCCAAAAAGGTCTTACTCGTTGCTGGACGGATAGCGCCAGCCGCTCGCGCATTCAGCAGGTGTGTCTATGGCTACCTTTCCAGGTGGGAGCGTACAAGAGAAAGCAGCAGGGCAACACACATCGGTTCCTCTTCTGTTGCAACAAATAAGACCCACCATGGGCGACCACTCTCCACTTGCCAAAACCCAGCATTCACGAAGCACAGCCGCGCGTTTCACCAAACACCGCACGGAAAGGCAGTAAGATCCGTCCAAAATCGGCAGAGTTTGCTTGCGACTGGGATGAGGGGCGAACTTGTTGTAGATGCTTTTTCGCCTAACATAACTTGGTTTTACCATACCCTTATCATTTCCCCAGATAGCTGAAAGCTACAGGGGTTCTAACTTGTAATAGAGAGGGGACAGTGATTTGCGAGATTGATGGGCTGGTGCTAGGGGGCGTGCAGCAGTTTGGGGTGCTGGTGTAGGTGCTGTTTGGGGTGCTGTTTGAGGTGCTGATGGCAGTGCGGGCGCATCTTTTCAAGATTGACTGTAGGGTGCTAGGGGGCATGCAGTTTGGGGTGCTTGTGCAGGCGCGCGCGCATTTGTGGGGAGCTGTGTGTGGAGAGGCTGAACAGAAGCTTGAGTGACAGCGCTTGGCTTACTACGATGGCGTGGTGCAGGGTTTTACTTGGGGCGTTCTTCGGGGGGGTGCTTTTGGAAGTGCTGGTGTGCAAGCACTGCTATCTGGGGTCTATGCTGGTGTAAGAATGGTTTTACCAATACCCCAAATTTTAGTTTTCAACGCCCCCAAAAAATTAGTTGAACTAATCTAGGTCTTACAATTTTTCTAAATCCCCTTGTTCGGGCCCTTGCAGTGCCCTTGTGAAGGCAGACTCGCTCGCTCAACGTATCGGAAGCTACAGCTTCACCGCTGCACGAAAGCAAGAATGCAGCAAGACCGTTTCCATGTGGCGATTTGATGGTGAGCTTTCCAGGATCCGAAATATCGAGGGCACAGGGCTTCCTCGAAGATCTGGCCTCTTGAACCAAGCACAGGGCTTCCGTTACAATCCTCGCGAAACACGGTGATCATATGTAGCGTGATCAGGGACACTGAAAGTGTCAGCTGTCTTCCTTTTGGTCTCCATTATTAAGGCGTCTCAAAACACATACATATCCAACTGGCTTGGGAGCAGTCAACATGCGACCCCCAAAATCTTAAGGTTTGTTGAGGGCTCCTTAAAAGATACATTTTGCCCAGTTAAAACATGGCCTTTTCCACCAAAATAAAGGGACACCACCATTTACAAGGCAATGTTCAGGTGTATAATGTAAGGATCCCTGTTGTTGACCCCGAACTGAACCGAGCGTGACGGATGCGGGCCCCGGAGGTCCTTGCACAACAGAGCAACTTGCAGCCTCTGGGTGCCGCTGTCTTCCAGGCCATCCGATTTGGATGGCGATCCGATTACACCACGATCACTTCCAAAGCTAGGCAGCAACTGGTGCATTGCCGGAAGAAGACAGTAAGGATTGCTAGACTTCCAGTGCCATTGGTATCCTGAGATCCTTTCACCAAGAGTGCAAAACCTGTGTGCTGCCAGGGCAGTGCGCATGTCTGAGTTGGATGGCTGGGTTCTGGCTGAATTCATTTCCTAAGTTCTTGGTCCAATGCAAGCTGAGTTTCCCTTGGAGGTAGGGTAATGTGGGGGAAACATCGTTGATGATGTCAGATTGGGGCAAAGTGTCTGGCTTCATGGCCAATGGGGGCTCTCCGAATGGGTGTGCTTCTTTTTGGCACCTTGTTCTTGCTTGCTTTCAGGTGAAGCCAAAAAGAAGCCACCGACTTGGCGTTCCGAATGTTGAGAACTGACTCAATGTTTCCCCTTGGACGCTTTCCTTGTGTCCTTGACGTTTGTTTTTTGCTGAGTTGGTCCCGTCGCACTGAAATCCGATCTCCGAAGCCCCTCACTGGGAGTCCATGCACCAAGCTTGGGCCAGGGGCACGCAGTTTGGAGCTCCGACCAGCTGATGTCCGAGGCGACGAGCTGGGTGAAAACGGACGGGCCAGCTTGAACCAAAAGGCGGGAAACATATCTTGGTCCAACTTGCGTTGGATAGCCAACCAGCCAGGCAGCCAGCCAGGCAGCCAGCCAGGCAGCCAGCCAGGCAGCCAACCAGCCAGCCAGCCAGGGCAGCCAGCCAACCAGCCAGCCAACCAGCCAACCAGCCAGCCAGCCAGCCAGCCAGTCAGGAGGATGCTCTCGCTGGGGGTTTGCTCAAAAGGGGGGCCCAAAGAGTCAGCCACATGGAACAATCTTTTTTTTGCAGGTCTCTTGGTGGGAAGTTTTGTTGCCCCGCTGCTGTGCAAGGGAGGGTTGCGGAAGGGTTCCTGACTCCTGAGTTGTCGGGGATACTTGGTCTTTAGGAAGTCCGCGCTTTCAGTTTGCCGCGGAAGGATTCCTGATGAATGGAGAGGGTCTGCATTCTGTGGCTTGGGTTTCTTTCACGAGCTATGGGAGCGAAGCGTGGTGGCTGGGGGTCGAGGCCTTGCTCAGCTCCTACGTGAGTCACAACCAAAACCCGGGTAGATGAAGATGAGTGAGGGATCATCCCACCAGAAATAGGTGCGGATATCCTGCCTCTTGATTCTTTACATGGTTTTGGGTCAATCTCAACGCCAGGTTTTGATTGTGAAAGAGTAACCTAGCCTCATGGAACTGTTGATCCATCGAATGTCTGTTGCACCAGATTTTGGAATGTAGGAATCGCCCTTTTTCATGCTTCTTTTGTCTGTTTCTGTTGCTTGTCTTTGCGTGTCTTTGTCTCAAAATGTGTGTCTGTGTGTGTGTGTGTGTGGGTGTGGGTGTGCGTGTGCGTGTGCGTGTGCGTGTGCGTGTGCGTGTGCGTGTGCGTGTGCGTGTGCGTGTGCGTGTGCGGTGTGCGGTGTGCGTGTGCGTGTGCGTGTGCGTGTGCGGGTGTGCGTGTGCGTGTGCGTGCGCGTGTGCGTGTGCGTGTGCGTGTGCGCGCGCGTGCGCGTACGGGTACTCAATTGCTGACGCTCTCTTTGCCAGGTAGCACGGGGCAGTTGGGGCGTCGCGCGCCCACTGCTCAGATGCAGCCAGCCGGTTGGGGTTCGGATTTGACGCGGTTTTGCCCCGAGCGGCAAGGGCTTATGAGGTGCAGTAGGGATGCTTGCATGTCACATTTTGCAGTTGACTGGAGCAAACCCGGGCAACGACAGATACCTTTGAGCCCCCTGTTTTGTGAGGGTCTTTTTTTTTCTGAGTTGGTTAAGGCGATGAACCTCTTTCGGGGGTTGTTCACAGGAGTGTTTGGGGATATACCGCCTTGTCCTTGGCGCGAGTCTTGGCTTGCGAACCTCTACTTTCGCAGCGTTCGTGATTGTCTGATAACTGCTCGTTTCGAGTGTCAACACACTTGCAATGGACAACAATTCTTGGGTTTCTTGGCCTTTTGTCAGCGCACTTTTGTCACTTTTGTTTTGGATTTCTTTCCACCGTTCTATGCTGACACGGCTGAGAAAGCCACGAAGATATCGGGCACGGAGTCTCAGCAGCACTACAAGCAAAAGAGATATGCTTGACATCGTCAGTTTTGGGTTGCAAGACATGCAAGCACATCAACCCACACGTTACAAACTCTCCGGCTCGAACATCTGGAAAGAATTTCCCGAAGCTCTGTTCCTTCATGTTGCTCCAAGGGCCTCATTCCCATTGTTCCTGGCTGGTTATCAGAATGAGCTTGAAGCACAGCCGCGACATGTTGCTTCAGATTGTGTTGCGAAAGGTGTGAAGTGTCAGGAAGGCTTGTGTTTGTGGGCTGCGAAAGAACAAAACTGGGCACCTCATGTTTGAACAGCTTCCGACCAGAGTCTCTCTGTTCGTTTCCTTGAGCAGCCGAAGGGCACAGTCAGAAAAGAAGAACTACGTATTTTTGAGCCTGCACGTGCCACGGTTGAAACATCCTTTAGCTGGGCTCCGGGATGATCATCATCCCTTAGCGGGGACCTCAAGCAATCAGTGAAGCATTGCCACTATGAGGAGTTGGACCATGGCACATATGGGTCGGTCTTCACACAAAAAAACGGAAATTAAGCCAAGCCCCAATATAACTTCCATGCCCCTCTGCGTGGAGAGGGGGGAGAAATGATGCGGGGCATCTCAGGTGCCCACAAGGAAGATTTGGCCGTCCCCGAGGGCGATGCACAGGCGCGACCAAAAAGCCGGCGTTTCCCAGAGAATTGGACCCTCTTATCAGCTAAGCTTGCTGCTTCTCAGCAGGAATGAGGAAATGACCCCTAGAAATCATGCTTTATGGTTTCCTCTAAGGGAATTTGTAGTCTCATTCCCAAACCCGGAGCACCAGCAAGTAAGAGGCTTGGTGCGAAAAAGATCTTCGGCCTCCCTTGACATGGCCCTTGGTGGAACTCCACGAATCCGGACCGCAGCGCTACTTTTGTCTCGCAAGGAGCGATGGGCATCCCTCTGGCAGCAGCGTGAGGTGGTTCCAAGGACCTTCGAGGTGGGGCTGTTTTGGGGGCCGGGCGAGGCCAGTCGTGAGCTCATGTTGGTTTTCTGGGTGTGTCGTTGAACACGTACAACAAGGAGGGCCGGAGAGTCATCCCTTTTTTGGAAGTTCCGCTGTGAGGCCTTTTTGAACAGCTGGTTCAATAGTTCATCAAACGGCTGGCATCGAGTCATCGAGGCTCCTTTTTGCCGGTTCCTTGAAACGAGGTGGCGACATGAAACGGGGCACGATTTTGCTTTCCTTTTCTGTCGTGGTTGCCTAATCTTTCCAAGTTGCCTACCAACTAGCAACAAGGACAAGCCATGGCATCCATTCGCATGGCCGGCAGAGAAGTTGTTGGTTGCAACTGGGGATGCGACGGAGAGCCTCCGGGTTCTCCAGCGTTTCAGGCCCTTCGTTTGCATGCCCATCCAATGAGCTTCACCATGCGGATGCAATCGGTGCCAAGATTTTGACAACCGGAGCATGATCAGCAACAGTGAAACTAGCAGCAACTTGATAAGAAACAAGAGCTGGATTCGCAGCAGACGGCGTTCAGGTTTTATTATCCTTTACGAGTATGAAGACTGCCATCCACTTTCATTCTGGTGTTGTCAGTATGGGTGCAATATGTGTCAAAGGGATTTGGACCTATGGTGTTTTTGTTGCTTCCCTGACGAGGTACCAAGGGCACCGAGCCTCCCAAAACATAGATATATGCATGGGGGCGTCTTTTTCTTTTCTTTTCTGGGGAACCCTCCAAATTCGTGGCTGTCCCTTTTGGTTTCCCTTAACCCCCCAAAACAAGCACTGCCCTTGAACAAATATCAGACCCACATATATATATATATACGTTTGCATATATATATATATATATGTATATATATATACACATGTAAGATATACATATATATATATATATTTATCTGCACATATACGCACACACATATATATATATATATATATA